CCCAAATTTCCAGCACTGCTATGCATAGCTCTTTTCTCTGAGGGCTTTATTGTAATAACTGGCTACAGGCAGCTTATCTTCACAGGGCCTGAGTGCCAGGCAGACTGTCACTTTGTGGCATTAGGAACTCATATTTGAGAGTCAATTTCTTTACCTGAACAAAGGACATGGTACTCGCTCCCACCCATCAGTGCCATGAAATTCCAAAGAAAATGTAAGTAGAGGTACTTGGTAAAATGTGAGGATCATAGGTGTCACGAGTGTTTTTCATGACATTTGCATGTGGGAAAAGCCCTGTTTCACAAGTGTCACTTTAATCAAGGCATGCAGGGGAATCTAACTCATTTTGTTACCAAGCATGGTTTGCCCAGTGTAATGCTTTGAGAAGATATAGGAACTCTCTCCTTAAAATATTATTACTATCATTTAATGGTTGTTGTAGGAACTCCCTCTATAAAATATTATTATTGTTACTATTACTAAATAGTTGTTGTAGGAACTTTTTAAAAATATTGATTGTTATTATTATAAGTGATAACAAATAGTTGTTATTTTAGGACTTCACTTTGTCGATCAGGTTGCCCTTAAACAAATAACCCTCCTGTCCCTGGCTCCTGAGTGTTGCAATTGCTGCCATACACATAGCTGCAGTACTTGGGTGGAAGTCCATTATTTTCTTTCTTTTTCTGTTTTTATGTGCTTATGGTGGGAGTGCATGTGTGCGCGGACACACACACACACACACACACACACACACACACACACACACACACACACACGCTGTGTGATATATACATGAATATGAATGTGGGCACATATATGCCAAGACACATGTAGAAATTAGGGAACAATGTTCTGAAATCAGTTCTCACTTCCCCCTTTTGTTTTGGGCAAGGTCTCTCTTGTTTCTTCCACTTCACAGTGTACTGAGGCTAGCTGGTCTGTTAGCTCCCAGGTGGCTCTATGTGGGTTCTGAACTTAACTCATCAGGCTTAAGTAAGTGGTGGGCACTTTTATCCACTGAGCTGTCTCTCTAGTAAATATCGTTTCCTGACTGTGGGGTCTGGATGTGTGGAAAAGTGGAGGTGTGCGAGTGGTCCATGAAGTCTGTCTGGACCTGTATGCGGATGCTGAGCTCAGCACTGACCTGAGGGAGTGAGAACCCTGTGGGCGCAAGGGTAGAAACAAATCAGTCTTTGTCTTGCTTCTGTGAGTGCAGACTCGATTCAGTTAAATTGAGCATTGAGGTCAGCCCTGAGATAATGTAAGAGTACCACCCCCAGAGTGAGCATATGGCTCTGCCACACATCTTTCTGACCCTTGCATCTCTCACTCCTGTGCCAGGATCAGCCTTGGACTTGGTCCAAATGACATTCATAGGCCAGATGATACAACACCATAGCCTGCTCCTTAATCTATTAATAATACAAAATGTCCTTTCCTTGGTAATTAAGTTCTTGCCTTTAGTTCTATTGAAACAGGATTTCTCATCAGCACTCCACCCATTTCCCTGGCTGACCCTGCTTTCAACTCAATTGAGAGGCTTCCAGGTCCTTAAGTTCCCATCACACCTGCCTACCCTGACTCTGCCAATAGCCACTTCTCTGTTGTAGTTTAGACAGAGCCATGGATTTCTGACTTAGCTTTGGATCTTAATCCAATAATTCATCATCTGTGTTTTTAATAATGGAGCCAACACCATTGATCTTCATCTATCCCCATGTTGTCCTTGCCCAGTTTTGCTTGAGTTTTCATGCAATATTAATAAAATTCTACTCTTCTTCTAAACCCAGTCTTGTCTAATCTTAAACTATGGATGAAATGCTGGGCTCTTTCCCTGATGACTCCTAAGCTCTACTTCTAGGACTAGTCTGTGCTTTTGGAAGAAGTGTTTCATTTCAAATAGACCATACCAAACTGATTTTCTTCTTTTCATATGGAAACAAGAATCTTAGGGTTGGTTTTTATGGCAGTGGCTTGCTTGAATCCTTAGGCTTGAATAGAGGACCCATCACCCTAGCATTTGGAAGTTGTGTGTGGAATAAGGTCCATGGGTTATACTCTTCCTCAACAGAACAGGTCTTGTGACTGTTTGATGTGGTCAGAGCAACCAAAGGGAGAAGAGCTTAAAGGCTGAGCCACTCTTGACAATTCTATTTCAGAGGTCTCTATGGGATGAGCAGAAGCTTTGTGACACATCCCTTCTCCTTCTGAATATTCCTGCCTCCTTCTTTTCCATCCACCCTCCCTCCCCCCCAAAAAAAGCTGGTTGTGAGAACTTGCCTCCAGTATAGAAGCTTTTATCTCAGAGACAATGGAGGGGGCATTGACAGGTGCCTACAAATATTTTTTTCTCAGACAACACACCATTGAATTATCATATTTTCTCTCTTCTGCCTGTGACAGACAAAACAGTGCCTGCCCCAACTCAAAGATACACACATCTGCATCCCCATCAACCTGTGCATGTGGTATTTTAGGTGTCAAAAGGATGAAAACCTTAGATCCAGCCCAGTCATGTGAGGCCTTCCTTTAAAAGCAGAAAACTGCTTCCAGCTGCAGTTGGAAATGTGATTAGAGAATTGTCAAGAGAAATGCAACAGTATCAAATTTAGAGGTAGGGGAAGAAGTCACAAGCTAAGGAACATAGGCAGTTCCCTAGGAGCTGGAAATGGAAAGTAAATGGACTGTTCTCAGAGTTTCTAAAATAGAACCAGTCATGCAAGTATCTTGTTTTTAGACAGTGAGATCTGTATCAGACCTCTGACCTACAGCACTATAAAATTGCTTTAAATCTCTAAGTTTGTGGTAACTTGTTACATCAGAAATAGGAAACTAGTGTGGTCCCTCATGAATCAGCTTAATACTTGTTCTTTATTATAACCTTAGACATGCCCCTCACTTGTCTGTGCCTTCATTTTTTCATTTATAAAATAGACATTTTGGGTCATGGGCTGTAAAGCTCTATATAGGTTGACATCATATGATCTTAACTGGCTGGGCTCCCTGATTTGCAATATTTACTTATTTTTTTTGGCTATGGAAGGAGGTGAAACTGAGATGGCACAGAAAGCAACACAACCATGTTGGCTCAAACATGGGAAGCGTTCTCGTCTGGCTCTATTCTCACAACTCCTCAGTCATGAGAAAAGTTCTCATCAGCTGGTGATCAATTTGTGATTCCAAACATAGTGACTAATGGGATTTTATCTTTTTATTCTTCATAAATGGACTTACAACTACAATTTTTAAAATGTTAATTCTGAGGATAGCTCATTAAAAGATACAGATACCAAGAATAGGGGTGAGACTGAACATATCATGTCCTGACTGCAGAGAAAATGAAGTCAGTCATCACTTAAGATATTTATTATTGTTATTTATTTGTGTGTGTGTAAAGACATGCCATGGTATAGGTATAGCGGTCAGAGATCAAAGGTCAGAGGAAAACATTCAGGAGTCAGTTCTTTCTTTCCACTGTGGGTTTTGGCATATAATATTCTGGTCACTAAGCTTTTGTAATAAGAAATTTTACTCACTGAGCCACCTTTCCAGCCCTCAGCCACCATTTATACCATTGTACAAAAGTGTACCTAGCCTGAATTTTGTCAGGAAAGGCAGGGCGTTATAAGGGGTGACATAAAGCTTTATTTGTCTCTTTCAGCCTCCCAGTAGAGGTAATCACTACAGATGCTACTTCATTAACTGGCCTGTGTTAACCACAAAATAATAATGGCAATAGCACATTGATAGTAGTGATCATTTTCTGTGCTGATCTGTCAGTGGTATCATTTTGAAATCCTTTTCATTATCTTTTGTTATTTATGTCAGTCTTCTTAAAAATACTAAAATAGGTAAATTTTAATTCATTCTTCCATTACTAAAAATTAAAACAAGATTTTATTTAATTGCAGACTTCTGAAAAACTACGAGTCTAATGACCCACTCTAATTATTACCTTCCGACAAGATTGCTCACAAATGCATTTTACAGACTTTCAAATTATTTATTTCATTTCAGACTTGAGGCTTCTAAAGCATACGAGAATGCTAGAGACTCTTATGCACTTCTTTGTGACAAATCAACCCATAAAGGTACAGTGAAGTCATTCATAGCATTCACACTGTAGGCATCACATATAGATTGTTGCCAACAAGTTTGGAAGAGATGCCCCAGCACTCAAAATAATGAAAGAGAAATATGTCTCTGAGTTCAAATACACAGGTTATTCAAAATTATGTGGCAGCCTAATTTCTCAGAGTAACTTTCTTACCTACTGCATGACATTAGTATCTTGATTGTTATCTGTTATAACATCTATTGTCCTATGGCTCCCCATGGAAAGAGATCCACTAGTATTTGATATCTGGGCCTTCTATCCTGACACCTTGTCCTGCCCTAAGAAGCTACCTTTGTGCTTTGTGTAAGTATAGAGTGGCTAAAGGCTAGTGTGATTGTCAACCAGTCAACACATTTGTGCTTGACAATACAGTAATTTTCATCAGTAAGTGACCTTAACACAAAATTTACATTGGTAAAGATGTCTTTCCAAGCCTGAGCTAGAAGTCTCCCCACTGAGACCCTCCTAGGATGTGAAATATGAAAACTGATGAAATATGGAGATTATTAGTGGCTCTATCATCTGTCTCACTCATCCCTCTCCTTTTTCAAATTTGCAATGTGTTTTGGCAGTGCCAGATCTGTTCATCTCTGTTTGACATAAGAATAGAACCTCTCCCTTTAGGATTTTGCAAAGAAGATGGTGATGTGATTATGCTAGTTCTTATCTGGAAGCAGTTAAGAATCGAGTAGAAGAGACTCCGGCTCAAGGGGAAGAACATTTTCATAGAACCCACCTCTTTCAGGCAAGTTTCAGTTCCCATGAAGCCCCAGTGATCTCAGAGAGAAGAAAACAACTTTAACTCTTCATAATACTATTGCTAGTGCCAACAGCTGTTTTAGATGCCATAGCCTTAGCAACAGTTCTAGCACATACTCACAGTTTCCTTGCTCTCAGTGGTCTTGTGATCTTCTGTTCAAATGATTCAAGTGATAAACAGCCCTGAAAAGATATTAGAGATTAGAAACACTGGAAAATCTAAATTGCCTTGTTTTTTATTTAATGATACATTTGAAACTTATGAACAATAATTTTATTTAGAAAAACAGAGTGAAAAAGAAGATCTATATGTAAAGCACCATTAACTCATGAAACATTTAGATTTGTCTTTATGTATACATGGATATATTGTTTTTTGTTTGAAAAAGGGGTCATACTGTAGACATGGGTTTCATGTATTATTTTTCTAATTAAATATGATATTATAAATAACTTTTGTTAAAAATCCCCAACAGGTGTTCATAGCTGTGCAGATTAGTATCAGAGTCTTAGATTCAATTCCATTGTATTTCTAAGAAGACTGACAGAAAACATCTGCATTCCAAATTTATGAGAGGCCCATGTCAAAGTAACTAGGGAAGCTATGCCTAGATCTCTGACATGCTGAACTGTGAACTAGTATCTTTGTGGCTTGAAGCTACTGTTTTTAGGGCAATGCAGCCATACATTATATAAGACACACAGTGTTTAGTGAATGTCTAGTTTTTCAGCTGTACTACAGTTCACCCAATGTTTTATTGTTGCACATTTTGGCCCTTTTATTTTTCTTCCTATTATAAAGAAGACTGCTATGAATATCATTGTAGTATAGTTCACAATGTATTTTTTGGTTCCTTCCAGTCCCCTCCTTAAACTGTGTCTCTATTTAAATCAGCTAGAAAGTTAAATAAAGACCCCCAAAATCAAAGCTAAGCTTGATTCTTGAAAATTACTAGATAATTTGATGCTAAGCAGTATTCAAAATACCATTGTTTTGAAACCAGCCTGATGACTTCAACCAGCTTAAAATCACTCATCTTTAGTGAACAGCCATGTTCTGACAGTGTGTGATGCTCACAGTTTCCAAGAGCTTTGAAAGAGAGAGCAACAACACTGAATGTGAAGCAAGAGCTACGTCAGGCTATTTTGAAAATATTCAGCTTATTTTAGTCACCTAAGAGGTTGTCAATAAATTCAAATTTTGTGTTACCAAGCTGGATGGCCTGAATTCAATGGCTGTTCTGCCTGGAAGCATTTCCTATACATAGATAACAGCACCATTTCTGAATTTCAATGACTCATTGTTGGGGACAAATGCATATTTTAATGAATGCTATATATTTTAACAGATTCCAAACCCTGCAGTTGTTTTAAGCTAAGGGTGCAATTTTAGGATCTAAATAAGTAAATAAATGAGGAAGAAAATGTGTGTTAATTGTAGTAATTTGTGATACTTTCAAATTCTTAATTAAGAAATAAAATAGGATCATTAGCCATGTCCACTGTAGATGGCATACATAGATCACCATTATAACCAGATGCAAGACCCAAAGTCCTTGCCATAAATGAAATAACAGAGGGAGGTTTCTGGCACATTATAGCCATAGAAAAGGAGACGAGAGAGCCATGCAGAAGGTTCAGACTTTGTAAGTGCCATTTTCCTTGGCCTGGGGAACAACATTATTCTGAAGCCATTGTTTCAGAATATTAAAACAAGCTCAGACTTGGATGCCTGCCTCTTCCTCCCAAACTTTGCAATGGATCTTTCATTCAAGCTTCATAAACCCTCCTTGAGCCTAGCCAGCAAGGGCGTCCATGGCTGCACCAATCTCTACCTTTCCTGTAAGTCCTTCGGACTTGGACTTGGGTCTTTGCCTGCCTCCTTTTCATGGTGAGCCAGTATTTTTTCAACAAAGGAGGCAAGAAAAGAAGGACATCTCTTCTAATTAGATCCATTCTCATTGGTGTTGCATTTTAAAACTTAAGTATCAATTGCTTTTTAAATAAATACGTCACACAATTCGTCATTTAAAAACTCATTTCTAAGACAAGCAGACACCCATACAGTAACTAGAACTGTTCCCAGTAAACCAGGGTGACTGGGAAATATCTAGATATGTTTCCAAGGTGGAGGGAGGGTGAGTAGGCACAGATTTTCAGGCATATAAGAGAAAGCTCTTTGGTGACATGAACTATGAGGGTAACATTGATATATGCCTGGGAGAAGGAAGACTGGTGACTCCAGCTATGGGCTTAGATAGCTGACCATCCTGTTTCTGCAGACAAGGCAGGCATCTCCTTGGCTTTTCCTCTCCTGTGATGCTGCTCATCTTAGTGTGGATGCCCAGGCAGGTGTGAACACTACTTGAAGGCAGACATGGGCAGGTGTGGGTAGTCAATTCCTGTTAGCTCAGCAGGGAGAAGGCTATGAGTAATCTGAGGGATTCTGTATGACTCATGAGAGAGAAAGAAAATAAAGGAAATCATTCATGGGTGATTTCTAACAGGACCAATGAATGAAGTGTTGTATTAGATATTTGAATACTCTAAGTGGTACCTATGGGAAAGCAGAACCCTCAAATCTGCTTTTTCAGGTATCTATTGTTTCCCCTTAATGCAAACCATGAGAGCAGTCTGAAACACACATCTTACACTCAGGGAATTGAGATGGTATAGGTTCCTCCAGTCAAAGGTGCTTTCTTTTTGAAAAAGAAAGCCAGAGAGATGCTGTGTTAACTAAAGATGGTCCTATCTAGGGGAGGCTACTCACCTCCCACCCGTCCCTAAATCTAAAGACCCCAAGGAGCTCACAAGGACTGAAATTAAGTGCTCATATTTTATAGTATTTTACTTCTTGAATAATTCTTCCTTCACGTCTGCATCTGGACACAGTTTTGGCCACCAGTGGAATTTAGGGGCCTTGCTGTGGGTGATGTGAATGGTTATATCACCGCTATTTACTGAAATTGGGGTACAAAGGAATTTCTTTGCCTTTAATTTTCTAAAAATGTACAATAAAGAGGAAAGGGCCCTTGCCAATTTCAGAGTAAGCCAAGAAGAAACAAATTAAAAACATATGCATAAAAACCGAGGCGAGATATCAGATTAGGGTTTAAAATACCCAGTATATAAGGTGCTTCTATAGAGTTCAAAGATATTATAGGTTCCTGGGTATCAGATATAATACTTAGCTCAAGGAGAGCCTGATGCTAAGAAGATACAACAAAGATGGGTGAAGTAGGTTGGGAATGTCTGAGCTATGAGAAGGCCCTGGAAGGTATTGCCTCCTTACTCATCTCATGAAAAGCCAGGAACATTCTTTGTTGAAATTCTTTTTAAAGAAAGTTCTTCAATACACTTTGTCTCTGCTCTTACATCTGAGAAGTGTTTGCCTGGTTCTGTACATCTTCATTTTGTTTAACAAATATTCCTGGACCTCACACCTTTCCCAGATACAGCCTTAGCTGCTAGAGATTCAGGGGTTCGGCATTAGAGAATGCACAGCTGTGTGGAAGGGACATCTACCCTTAACACAGCTGTGTTCAGATAGACCCATCCACTTCCTTTGAATTTATCTCAAAACACCAAGGAAAATGTGAAGCAGAAACACAGAGCCCACCTTTATTGAGGAAGGTCTGCCAAAAGCAATACATTTGCAACTACAGCAGGTAGATGCTGGAAGATCTGCCAAAGACCTCAAACAAAGTTGGCAGTACTCAAAGTTTGTAGAAGAGTGCAAAAGCAGCAAAGTCTTTTGGGGAACAGTTGATCTAAAGTGAATGGGCAGTTTGCAAAAGCAGTTGGGCCTCATTAAGAGATAGGAATGCAGGAGTTAGAATAAACAAGACAATATGTAGATGCAGTATCTAGGCATGCCTGTTGGAGAAGAGGTTCAGAGAAGAAATTAATCACATTAATCAGTCTTATGACCCCTAATCTCTTCTTTCCTTGGGGAAGAGATAAAGGAGAAATTGACTTGCATACATGAATATGGTCACAACCCTATATGTGATAGGTAGCATCATAGTGAACAAGCCAGACTATGCTGGAGACTACTGTGAGTCCTTCATAGTGAACAAACCAGACTATCATGGATACTATCATAGGTTCCTCCTCCCCAAAAGCTTTATGCAAACACAGATGGTTTAAAGGGAGTTGTCCAGTCAGCTATTAGCTGAAATAAAAATTATCAGAAAAATATTACAGATACTATAGTAGAAAAATTGATAATCAGAGAAAAAAATAGACAAAGAAGACATGCACCAAATCATGTTTCAGTCAAGCAAAGGGAAACCATGTATACCAGGCAAATTACCATAAATCCAACAAACAGATAATAGCACAACAAATTTCAGTGAAGAAAATAGTTTAAATAAAATAAGAAATCTGGGAAGAAGTGTCAAAACAACTTAGAGACAAAAATAAGCTGAGAGAGAGAGAGACAGAAAGACACAGATACACACAAAGACAGACAGATTAACACACACAGAGAACAGAGATGCAGAGAGAAAGACAGAGACAGAGACACAAAGAGACAGAGAAACAAAGAGACAGAGACAGAGACACACACACACAGACAGAAACACAGAGAGAGGCAGAGAAAGAAACAGAGACATAGAGACACAGAGAGAGACAGAAAGGGAGAGAAAGAGAGTCATATTGAGAGAATACACATAAGCAGAGTGAGAGAGCTCAGGGAAGAAGGAGAGGAAAAGCAAAGTCATCTCCAAATTAGAGACCCATTTTAGGTGACAAATGCCAAACAGGCATAGGAAAATAAGATGGCACAGCACATGGTTTAAAAGGATGAAGAATGGACAGGACATTGGTATAGAAGATGGAGTGGACCAACAGATCTGTGCAGATGTATCAACACAGGGCTTGTGATGGAGAGTAAAGCAAAAACAGAATGGAAAACGATCTGGAAGACTGTTATAACAAGACATCTCCAGAATAAAATACTGAAATCTGCATGCCAACCAAAGCAAAGGAAAACAGGCAACAAAACACAGGCTGTGTCGGGAAAGAGTTATGGCAGACATACCAACCCGGAAGGCAAAGGTGATCACCATTCAAATGACTAATTTCAACACAGAGTAAAGTAAACCATGCTAAACTCTTTTCTCCAAATGGGCAGAAATGGACTGGCATCATAACTCCCCACAGTCACATGATGCTTACAA